CATGCCCTTCCCGCAGCTGCCTGCTACTGTATAGGCACACGCTCACAGCAGTTTAACAGGAATTATTTTGCCTGTGATGAGCTAGACTGAGCCTTAAAAGTAGAGGCAATAGAGAATTGACTAAAAGTTCAAGCATTGATTGTCCACTCAGTCAACGGAGGTGTGGTATATTCCACAGTTCCCTGGTAAGGAGATTTGCTGCAGAAAAGGGGTTCTGCGCTTCAGGACCTGTGCTTTTAAAAAATACGTATTTACAGCTCTGGAACTGATAAAACATTTTTAAAATGAAGATAATATACCAAGCCCCACTGTCCCTACCTGATTCCTACTGCAATCCCAGAAGCATCTCTGGGACATTCTTGTGTTTTGCCAATTAAAGAAAATCAACTGCAGATTGAAAGTTGGAAAAGAAAGCTGAAAAAGAGTGATACAGCCTTGATATTAACCTCATAGTAACCCCGTGGAGGTCACTGCACAGTTATTTTTTTCATGTACAATTTAAGAAATAAAATTAGCTGCTATAGATCTGCTCCTAATTTTTCACCCTGCTTCCCTAGAAGAGCTTACAAGTCCACCCGCCCTTCACGGCAGACCTCAACCTGCAGAAGAACCGAGTGGCCATGTGCACGGAGGTTTGCTCCTGCTCAGGACAGACAGGTCTTCAGTCAAGCATGGGTCAAACGAGTAAAAACAAGTTTGGAGGATGAGTGCCTGTCCTGGACATTGTTACGTGTCCTAGGAAGGGATGCCTGAGCTGAGACCGCTGAAGAGCCCTGCCCAGAGGAGGCACGTGGCTGTGTGCCCTTCTGCCCTGGTGACTGGCAGCCATGTGGAGGTAGCCCCAAGTCCCGGCCACCCCTGGAGTCAAGCTTGGCATGGCCTCTGCACAGCCCTGAGCGTTTGTCCCATCACAGCATTTCCTGACAGTTTACATCCAGACCAAATTGTTTACAGGGAAAAGAAGAATGTGAACTAAACCATAAAAATCACTTGCTGCCAGAATTTTGGGAGTTCCCTGGGACCAGCACCTGGGGAGCAATCTCTTGTGCTTACTCTCCATGCATGGTATCTCGTGGGCTTATGTACACAGTTTTTCTGACAGTGTTACATAAAGTATGACCTATGTTATATTACTGCTGTTTTATGACCTATCTTACAGCTAATGACCTGTTTTCTGTTAAATGTATAAATAAAATGTAAATGCCAACCTGTTGAAGGTCAGGTGAGACCCAGCTGTCAGGATGTCTTTGCTTCTGCCATATCACCAGGCCCCCCCCAAGCCCTACATTTCTCTTTCTCTCATCGTATTTCCTCCAGATCCAGGGTGAGAGCAGCCACTCTTCCAGCAGAGATGGAGCCTGGCTGGTCCTGACAGAGGGTCAGTCAAAAACCAGAGTAGCCCCTCCACTGAGGGGATGTCACAGGCTGCCGCCGTGAGTCCTCACGGGGGTGTCACTCACCCCGAACATGGGTGCAACATGAGCATGTGTGTGTTTTCAAGCACTTCCAGCCAGCTTGCCCTGGGCAGAGCTGAGCCTGCAACCTGTGTGCTCTGCCTGGCACCCATTATTTAACCCCTCCATGGGCAACAGTTTTGACTTACACAGACTGAAGCACTGTGAGATTCTGTGGCTGGAAAAGTGCTTTATGCACGTTCAGAATTTCTGTTTATCTGAATTAACGATTGCTGCCACTAGACACATCTTTCCTTGGACTATGAGAAGTTTAGAGGCAACAAACATGGAATAAGATGTAGCATCTGAAAACCTCAGGAAGAGAAAGATCTTCCTTTTAAAAAATGATTGGTAAATACACTCAAGTGAAACACCTGCTGGACATCAGCATCGTAATGCACTCACTGGAGTGGGAAATGCATGTGCAGTGCTAGACGCTGTGTGCTGAAGAAACAGGCTAAGACTTCAGATAGGGCATATAACAGAAATCAGAGCTAAAAAAATTTAGAGTCTCTTTAAAGACAGACTCATAAGCTTAACATAATTGGGAAAAAGCAGTATTTGGAAAAAAAACCACCCTTATAATTAACTGATCTGAAGTATTTCTTTCCAAGTAAATAAATTATGCTACTTCTAATGCTGATTTCCATTTTGACACCCCTTTGCAGAGCAGCACCCACAATGCACTTTCATAACAGAGCTGACACCTGGGCCTCGGGAAGACCCAAACTAGGTTACAAAAGGTAGAGCATAACCTATGGTCATGCTCCTTCAGGATGTTGGGAGATAACTAATTTTTTTTTAGTTATTCAGTTATTACTTCGCTGTTATTGACTGGTTATTCAAAGACCATTAGCTGGACTCAGGTGCCACATGGCTAAGGCTGTTGGCGGAGCCAAACACAAGAACGCAGGAGCATCAAAAGAAACTATGAGAGAACAAGGTTTAAAATAAGTAAAAAGGAGCAGCATTTCCTGCAACAAGCAGTCCACCTATTGAGCCCTTTGCCAGCGGATGTTGGAGATGTTACAGTTTGGTTCAAGAACAAATTAATGGAAGAGAAATCCATTGAGTTGCTAAACACATATAAACTATGTTGAAAATGATTAGAGGCTGGGAGAATAGGAGGAGGACGTTACTGTATGTGTCTGCCCTATTCCTGCAGTCTTCCTTGCCTATTCTCTCATGGCCACTGCTGGAAACAAGATTTTGGGTTCGATGCACCAAAGGGCTGATCCGGATTGTCTGCATAAATTCATGTAATGTCTGCCTTGTACTACCCATGAACTGTGGAGGGTTTCAGGCAGTTTTCTTAGACCTCTGATGCTTAGAAGAAAGCATAAATGAAAGCTTTTTATCTTCCTTTCCTGCTGTTGTGGTTTAACCCGGCAGGCTGTTAACACCACACAGCCGTTCGCTCACTCCCCTCCCCCCTGCGTGGGATAGGGGAGAGAATGGAAAAAAAAAGAGTAAAATTCATGGGTTGAGATAAAGACAGTTTAATAGGACAGAAAGGGAGGGAAAATAATAATAATAATGATGATAAAAGAATATACAAAATAAGTGATGCACAATGCAATTGCTCACCACCTGCTGACCGATGCCCAGCCCGTGCCCGAGCAGCGGCCCCCCCGGCCAACTCCCCCCAGTTTAGGTACTGAGCATGACGTCACATGGTATGGAATGTCCCTTTGGCCAGTTGGGGTCAGCTGTCCTGGCTGTGCCCCCTCCCAGCTTCTTGTGCACCTCCAGCCTTCTCAGTCGGTAGAGCATGGGAAGCTGAAAAGTCCTTGACTAGTGTAAGCACTGCTCAGCAACAACTAAAACATCGGTGTGTTATCAACATTATTCTCATACTAAATCCAAAACACAGCACTGTACCAGCTACTAGGAAGGAAATTAACTCTATCCCAGCCAAAACCAGGACACCTGCATGGCTCCTGCACTTGCCTTGATGGTTATGTGGATTGTGTTAGCCTGGCTTACATGAAAGATGTAAGAGATGTTTTGTTTCTAAAATAGTTAGAGTTAATAAACACAGATGGTGTGAGAAAGAGAGAGGAATGGAGCTTCTGCTTTCTCATATAAAGGAAAGCTGTTCTCAAAAAC